TTGGTGATCGTAGAATGGCTGTGGGGTTTTAAACCGGGACTAAAGATGATTTTTAGTGCCGGTTCTTTTTTAACCGGAACTATTGTGGTTTTGGGGTGACCGAGCAAATATCAGTTTTCCAGTAGTGTAAGTATACCAAATAACATAATTAATTTTTGCTAACCGCAAAGCCGAATGTAAGGGTGAAAACGGTCGGAATCGATAGCATCTTTTTGGCAACGACACTCAATCGGTCGATAATTGGCCATAACTATCATTTAAACTATTCAGTAATGACATTAATACCATAAAAAAATTAGAAAAAATAAAATTTATAAATAGTCAAAAAAGTATGGTCAGAAACGATAACTCTTATACGGAATCTTATACGGTAACGGCGCTCGATCCATGGAAATTTTCATTACTGTTTTCATCCGTAGCCTAACGGCCCTTTGCCTCTGGTCATGAGGCCTGGGACCTCTAGAAGCGCATAATAAAGAGTCTCGTACATTGGAAGAACTATTAACCAAACGGCCAACATGGATAAATTCTCGACTCATAGTCATAGCACGAGTCTGCTTTTGGAATTTTGGAATGCTTTCTTACGATTGTGGCTTATAAATCAAAGGTATAATCAGATATGGCGCGACTCTACGTCGATCTTATCCTTACCCCTATATGGTCCTTTTTGAAATTCGTTTTCTAAGTTTAGTCAATCTTATTTTCGCGAAGGATGGTCGTGTGTTGTATGATTAATCGTCGTGGTGATGTACTGGGGATTCTTTCCATAAACTTTGTCATTGCTATATAATAAAAATATGAGTCTTAAAATAAAAACTCTGTGCTAAAAGGTTTAATAATTTTACTCTTAACAACCCATAAGGTAAAGCTGAAAAATAGAAAAAGCAACAATGAAATACCCCGGTTGAGTTTGTTCCTCTGTTTTCCCAACTAATATCTCTCCTTTTTCTACACGAACGCTTTTCAAACTGCTAAATGATGCATTTTTTTTAATAAATTTCTATACGAAAGTTGTTTTTTTTTAAAAAAAAATCTTATAATTCATTTTTTTAAAAAAGCTAATACTTAATTAATCACACGCTAATGGATAGTTTCGTTTTACGTGCACTGCACATTAGTTGGGAACCACACCAGGAACAAAAACACAGCCTAAGGCTGTGTTCGGGAGGAGGGGCTGGGCCGCAGTCCCTCCTCCCCGGCACGCAAAACGAAGCTCGTATTATTGCATGATTAATTAAGTATTAACTTTTTTGAAAAATGGATTAGTATGATTTTTTAAAACATTGTAAAAATCACACCGTTTAACAGTTTGAAAAACGTGCGCACGAAAACGAGAGAAGTGAGTTGGGAAAACTGGGAGAAGAATATAGCCTTAAGTCAGTTCCAAAATGAATAGACCCACCCTACATATGTTTATGCCCCATTGGGAAGTAATTTTGGGTGTGGCAACTTTCTCATTTTCTATTAGCATGTTTTTCGAACTACTAAAACGATATATTTCGTACAAAGTTTTCATTATAAAAGTAAAATAAATCTATTTTCAAATTATAATAACCAATACTTGACTAATCATATGCTCACTGATGACTTATCATGTTTTAGATCAAATTTCACAAAACTACATGTACTTTGATCGAATTATCGTAAAACTACATATTTAAGACGTTGTATCACAAAAAGACAAATTTAAGACCAAGCATCACAAAACTACATATTTAATGCTCAAATTATCACAAAACTATATATTTTACAAGTTTAAATTCCTACAACTATTATTATGTTAGAGTTATAAATGTTGTAGTTTTGTACTTAACTCGGTGCAAAAATGTAATTTTGTGATAATTTTATTACTAAACATGTAATTTTATTATACTCCATCTTAAATATGTAGTTATTCGATAAACTTGGTTCTAAATTTATAGTTTTGTGATATATCATCTTAAATCTGTAATTTATGATAGTTTAGACAAAGTACATGTAGTTTTGTGAAATTTACCCCATGTTCTATGTACCTCTAATATGTCGGACCTAACAACCCAGTTGAACTGAGCCGTTCTGCCAAAATGTCACTTTCTCTTAAATGCCTAAGGTATGCCAACTTTGCTAGAATGATGTCGCTAAACTTGTTTCTTAAAATGTCATTGCACCATGAATCCTCCTTCTCGAAACAACCCCTACCAGACAATACGAAGTTTTGTATTGATATAGCATAAAAAAAAATTCAAAATTACAATCTTGAAAGTTGCAATCAGAAAAAAAACAAAACAATTTACATCACCACCACTATGAATCCTCCTTCAATCTTGCTGGCTGGCCCAGCCACAATCAGCCACTTTCATGCCTCTGCCCGGTAAATGTATGAACTTTGAAATGATAAGTCAGTACATTTCTTGGATTTCACAAGAGAGAAGTGATCTATTCCAACAGAATTCGTTGATTCTCCCATTCAAGATGCCTATATCCACTACCACTACTACTGATATCTCAATTTCCACCGGCAGCCTGACAGAACTAATGCCGATTGCCGGCCAAATCTGGAGTAGCAATCTTTGACATGCCAAAAATCGGTTGCTTCCCAGCCCCGGGCTACAACCCTTTTTGCTGCACGCTACGCTACGCGAGCTGCTGACGCCGCAACGGCAACGGCTAACACACGACGAGCCCACGGCCATTTCTTAAACTTGAACTTGGGTCAGTGCTATTGTAGTAGGGCCGTGTTTAGATCACCCTCAACTACTCTAAACTTCTAACTTTTCATCATATTACATCACATCAAAAACTTTTCTACATATATAAACTTTTAACTTTTTTTTCAAACTCCCAACTTTCCCAAAACTTTTAACGTTTAGTTCCTGAAAAATGTTGGAAGTGTGTTTAGTTCCTGAAAAAAGTTGAAAGTTTGGGGAAAGTTGGAAGTTTAGAAAAAAATTAAAAGTTTATGTATGTAGGAAAGTTTTGGATGATGTGGTGTGATGGAAAGTTGGAAGTTTAGAGGAGTTAGGGATAAACTAAACAGTAAACACGGCCGCAGTTGCCCGCCTAAAGCAAAGCGGAGTTCGGACTTTCCGAATCCGGATTTCGGGAGAAGCAGCGTTGCGTCTCCATTTGGAGGGAAGGATCCGTGGGATGCCTGGGCCCACCACGTGTCATCCTCCCCATGCCCCGAGTGCCCGCCACTAATCACACTCCCCACGCCCCACTACCCCGCCCCGTTTATGCCTCCTCCCGACTATTCAAAATAATCTCAAAAAGAAAAAAGAACAATGGGCGTCGAATAATGCTTCCCTCCACACAGTGAGTGAATCTGTTCCAGATTCGCCCCATTTTCGCACCGTTTCTTTTAAAAAGAAGCCCCCAAATGAACGGCAAAGGGTGCATGCAAACGCAAGCCGTCACATACAGGTTTCAAATTAGTGGCTCTCCCAGTAATAATGAAATAATTAAAAGCAAAGTCAATTTTAGCATTGTATTTGTAGTAGTAAAAGTGTGTATTTAGTTCACGCTAAAATTAGAAGTTTAAGTGAAATTGAAACGATGTGACGGAAAAGTTGGAAGTTTGTATGTGTAGAAAAGTTTTGATGTGATGGAAAAGTTGAAAGTTTGAAGAAAGAGAAAATTCCCTATATACCCCTGAAAATTTACTCAATCCCTTCAATACCCCTGAATTTGACATTATCCCTTATATACCCCTGAGTTTTCATTTTGATCTCCTCTATACCCATCTCCGTTAGTTGACCATTAGTTGACCGTTAAATATTTTAAAATGACTATATTACCCATATTATACATATGTGTGGTACCTACCCAATAAATCTTCATATGAAAAATAAACTTATACAAAATACAAGCAATATAATCATTTAATGCCCAACTTAAAAAATAAAACTTATTATTTTTTATTTTTTAAAAATTATGATTAAATCCATACATTAGTTTCACCAGAAAATTAAGAGCAAAAACTAAATGTTATTTAGGTTTAAATTTTTGGGAAGATATACGAAATTCATCAAATTTGATCTGAAATTTATTTAAAAATTTTAAATTTGTTTTCTAATTTGTGATAAACTAATTATATCCCCTTTGTTTTTTCACAACGAATCTTTTTTCACTAAATATTTGTTGAAAGGTAATTTTCAAATCTTATGCAAAACTTTTTTTTACAATAAATCTTTTTTTATTTTAATGAAATAATGTTTTATTTTCAAAAATTCATAACAAATATTTAGTAATTTATTCCTTATTGGTTTTCACAACTCAAATAATTTACACATAAAACATTTCTAGCTTTTAACAATATAACAAGGACAATAAAGTAATTTCTACAATAACTAACGGTCAAACTAATGGTCAACTAACGGAATGGGTATGTAAGGGATCCAAATAAAAACTCAGGGGTATATAAGAGATCAAACAAATTTCAGGGGCGTAGAAGGGATTGGGTGAAATTACATGGGCATATAGGGAATTGGCCCTTGAAGAAAGAGGGTGTGTTTAGTTCCAAAGTTTTTTTCCAAACTTACAACTTTCCATCGCATCAAACATTTCATATACACACAACTTTTTCAGTCACATTGTCTTCAATTTCAACCAAATTCTAAACTTTGGGTCCAACTAAACACAGCCAAAGTTAGAAACTAAACCATGGGTGTGTTTAGTTCAAGCCAAAATTAAAAGTTTGATTGAAATTGGAACGATGTGACGGAAAAGTTGGAAGTTTGTGTGTGTAGGAAAGTTTGATGTGATAGAAAAGTTGAAAGTTTTTTTAAAAAAGTTTGGAACTAAACTAGGCCCAAGTCTAGGCTGTATTTACATCCAAACTTTGGATCCAAACATATAACTTTTTCTATCACATCAACCTATCATACACATAATTTTTCAGTCACATCGTACCAATTTCAACACAAACTTTCAACTTTACGAGAAAAACACAGCCCTAGTAAAAAAGAAGTTTGTTGAGTTCGGCGTAAAAACGGGGGAGATGGAGGGGGGCGACGGAGAAATTTAACGAACAGTGCATTTGTTGCGCACACGGACTTTGGCAGCCATTCAATGACCCACCAGGCGCTCATCCCTTCCACCCCTCCCTCTGCCTTTTCCCCTGCTTCCCACTTCCTCCACGCCTCCTCCTCCTCCTCGCCTTCGCTTTCCTCCCACGCCGTCGTCGCCACCGCCGCCGCCGCCATGTCGTCGTTCGCGCACCACCACCATGGCTCGCTGGTGAGGCTCTCTCTTGCGTGGTTGAGCCGTTCGCGACGGTTTTAATTAGGGTGGTTCTTGAAACTGACGAGAGTTTCGTGTGTTTCTTTCTTTTGCTCTGCTTTCTTTGTGCGGTTTCAGGTGGAGAAGGACGGGAGGATGTCCGCGCTGAGGAGTAGCCTTAGGCCGTACGAGGCGGCCGAGGAGATGGCCGCGGCGGCGGCCGCCGGCGGGCCGGCGGCGGCGTGGGGGGCGGTGGAGAGGGGGGCAGGGATGATGGGGGACGGGTTCTCGGTGGAGGACTTGCTGGACCTTGAGGAGCTCTGTGAGGTGGACAGGGACGGCGGCGAGCAAGGCGAGGCGGCGGCGGCGGCGGCGGCCGCCGTGGAGAAGGAGAGGTCTAGTGACTCCCATGGCTCATCGGTGGTGTCGTATGAGCCCATGCCGCTGCTGCCGCCGGTGATGGACCTGCCGGTAAGAACATACATGACGACGTTACGTTTGGCTCCTCGTTTCGCGCCAAGCGCGTCGACTTTTGCAGTCTCCACCCATGTCGTCGTTTGCTCATGAGGTGTTTGTTTTTGTGTACAGGCGCATGACGTGGAGGAGCTTGAGTGGGTGTCCCGTATCATGGACGACTCGCTCGCCGAGCTCCCGCTGCCGCAGCTCCCCGCGGCGGCGGCGGCGTTGGCGGCGTGCGGCAAGCCGCAGCACCGGCGGCCGCACGAAGGCGCGGCGTCGGCGTTGTTGGACCCTATGCGCACCCCGACCATTTGCGCGCTGTCGACGGAGGCGCTGGTGCCGGTGAAGTCGCGGCGGAGCAAGCGGTCGCGTGCCTCCGTGTGGTCGCTCTCCGGCGCGCCCCTGTCCGACTCGACGTCGTCGTCGTCCACCGCGACAACCTCGTCCTGCTCGTCGTCGGCCTCCTTCTCGCCGTTCCTCCAGTACGTGGACTTCCCCGCGCTAGTCGCCTCCGACCTGCTCGACGAGCAGCCGCGCTCCAAGAAGTCCAAGCACGGCAAGAACGGCAAGCAGAAGCCCAAGAAGCGCGGGCGCAAGCCGAAGCACCAGCAGCCGCCGCACCTCGCCGCCGCCGCCGGCGGCGGCGCCGCCCTCCCCGCCACGGGCGACCGCCGCTGCAGCCACTGCGGCGTCCAGAAGACGCCCCAGTGGCGCGCCGGCCCCGAGGGCGCCAAGACGCTCTGCAACGCCTGCGGCGTCCGCTACAAGTCGGGCCGCCTCCTCCCGGAGTACCGGCCGGCCTGCAGCCCGACGTTCGTCAGCAGCCTGCACTCCAACTCCCACCGCAAGGTGCTCGAGATGCGCCGCAAGAAGGAGACCCCCGTCATCGTGGCGGCCGCCGCGCCGGCCGTCGCCTCTTTCTAGCCTAGCCTAGCTAGCACCGCCGCGGTGGCTGTACATTTTCCTTTTTCCTGGCCGTATCATTAGTCTGCTGTACCGTACCTGAACTTTTTCCTCCCTTCTCTCTATTTTAGTCCCGTCGTACGGCTAGAATTCAGTAGTAGGAAAATTAGAGGTCTCATTTAGAGATTGTGTTAGGTTTAGTGATCAACATTTGCATGTTTTAGCATTAGATTGTTATAGTGTACTCTAGTAGAAAGCACTCGAGCTCTTCACAAGAAAAGCTATTCAAAGCTGCGTCTGGCAAGAATGGCTGGGAGGCAGAGGGGTACCGATGTCTTCGGTGTGAAACAAGAAATTGGCTGTCTTGTTTTAACCGAGGGGTCAGAAAGAATTAGAGTATCTGGTGAAAGAGGAATGGGGTGTGGCTTGCCTGCATCATCGCCATCAGCTTTGTGGTGCCAAACCTATCTGTCCATTACTCCCAGCACATCGAGAACATTGGTTCTATCTATGTCGAGGTGGTCTCCTAAAGCCATCTCAGCCACTTCATCAGTAGTCAACAGTTCAACACCAGTGAGACTGAGACTACTCGCATTCCACATTTCCGCTATTAAAGTTCATGTGCATAATTGATTAGACCCCATAGGCAGTTTATCATTTATCTCTTGGTCTATAGTCATATAAATTAGATACTCTTAATTATCATGCTCTGGAAAAAAGAAAAAGAAAAAGGCTATCCATTTGAATATTGAAAATGAAGAGTTCATATGAGAGGCTGTGTTTAGTTCGTGTCCAAATTTTTTTTTGACGTATACGGATATATATTTGAAGTATTAAACATAGACTAATAATAAAACAAATTACAGATACCGCCTGTAAACTGTGATACGAATCTATTAAGTTTAATTAATTTGTCATTAGCAAATGTTTACTGTAGTACCGCATTGTCAAATCATGGCGTAATTAGGCTCAAAAGATTCGTCTCATGATTTACATACAAACTGTGTAATTGATTTTTTTTATCAACATTTAATGTTTCATGCATATGCCCAAACATTTGATATGATGGAAAAGTTTGAAAAAAAAATTGAATCTAAACAAGGCCTGAATACAACATGCTGCAAGTGGAAATTGATACTGCTCTATCAATTATACACTTTAGAAAATCTCCAAGTTATTCAGAACAAATAAAAAATCTGAATTATATGAACGATTTTCTGTTTACCCCATTCAAATCAACCGGCTTAATTAAATTATATTGTCTAGAAATTGAGAAAAAGTCGCATTGAATTTTATTGCAAGAACTTGAGAAAGAAAATCGTTCTCCCGTAAATAAACACTGCTAATACGGTTGAAACAAGATACTCCCTCCGTCCCATAATATAAGGGATTTTGGCTTTTTGCTTGTACTGTTCGACCATTCGTTTTATTAAAAAAATTTGGAATTATCATTTCTTTTATTTGTGACTTACTTTATTATTCAAAGTACTTTAAGCACAACCTTTTGTTTTTTATGTTTGCAAAAATTTTCTAAATAAGATGAATGGTCAAACAGTATAAGTAAAAAGTCAAAATCCTTTATATTATAAGACGGAGGGAGTATCAGATGAAAAATGTGTAATAGCCACAGGAAAACGAGGTTTCTTTTACCATTTGTTCTTATGAACAACTCAAAACGAGACTACATTTGAAATTAGAGAGCAGTGTACAATGAATATGAATATTAAGTACTCATTGTACATTAGGTTGTTCTTATTCATATATATCAGCCAGCTTCATTTCTAGACTACGATGCAACACTCTTGCTGGATACACACTCTTGCAGTCGATAGTCAAACACTATTTTATTCACTTTGGATGCCGGGTTACTAATAGGCTTCATGCTTAATGCGCCTTTAAGAGTGTCATGTCTGGTTCATGGTCCAAGTTTGCCATGCCAATTTGAACAGTTTATTTGAATATGTTAGAGTATTTCTGTGTTCTAGAGGAGTTCTCATGCATGTAGTTAAGTACTCCCTCCGTACTCGCAAAGGAAGTTGTTTTGGATAGCGACACGGTCTCCAAAACACAACTTCAACTTCTTATTTCTATAAAAAAATATATATGTATATTTTTATGAAAGTATTTTTCAAGACAAATCTATTCATATAATTTTTATATTTTCAAACTCAACAACTTAAGAGTTATTCATGATTTATATTCCCAAGGTTTAACTTAAATATTGTTCTAAACGACTTTCTTTATAAATACGGAGGGAGTATTCTAATTCAAACAAGGCGCAATTTCACCTTGTTGGCTCACTTATCATACTCTTCTTTTATTAGCCAAAGTTTGCCATACTTACCCATTTTACGAGGCATGCCATTCATTTACTAATTGAGCTATAGCAAAGCTCTCTTAACTCTTTTCTACTTTTGATAACTCCAGACTAATTAAATTAAATTATGATAGTTTTCGAATTTTTTTACCAAAAACAATTGTGTAAATTTCACAAAACTACATGTAATTTGGTGAAATTATCGTAAAACTATAGATTTAACATGATATATCACAAAAGTACGGATTTAACACTAGTGAAATAGCGCAAAATTATAGATTTAATAACAAAGTTATCACAAAACTACATGTTTAATATCAATTTAATCATAAAATTAGGACATTTACTCAAACATAACATTAGTACTAAGTATTTAAACTCCAAAACATTTTTTTTATAACTTTATTATTAAATACATAGTTTTATGATATTTAGCTTAAACTTGTATTTTTATAATAAATTTATTATTAAACCTGTAGTTTTGTGATCATCATCTTGAATATGTAGTTTTACGATAATTTGCTTAAAGTATTTATAGTTTTGTAAAATTTACTTAAGAGTAATTCATTTGTGTGAAAATTTGGTACTCTCTCCTTCTCATGGTTTTGTGATTCTGAGATAATGCTTATTCCCATCTATCCACTCATGTAGTAGTATATTTTCCCACCTATGAACTTCTGTACTATTTTATCCCTCAATTTATCACCTTTAATACTATGGTATTAGGGTGGCCGGGTGGGCAAAAGCTCGAAGCTCGTCACTTGGATCGGCTCGTATAACTAGCTTGGCTCATACTAATAGTCTTAATTATTCGAGCCAAGTTAGATATTTAGGTCGTTAGTAAAAGAGATCATCATGTCTTCGCGTACCTAGTGCTTGTTAACTATCGATTAGTACTTTAATTTCAGGCAAACTATATATGTTTAATTAGTGTTTATTATTAGGCTTATATAATAAAATAGTAAATATAAAATTATAAAAGTGGTATAAATGCATTAATGAGTCAGCTCGTGAGCTGAATCGAGATAGGTTTTTAGCTCCTTAGTTTTAATGAGCCGTTGGTTTGTTATTCATCCCTATGTGACTTGTTCTTTTGCTACTTCTTTAATTTTTTTTAAAAGTATTATAATCTTTTACATTATGGAACGAGAAGAGAGTAGTTTTTTTTAAAAAAAAGCCGCCGTGGTCTTGTGTACTGTGGATGTGGATTGAACAGATCGATAGAGTGCTTCCCAACAAACAGTAGGCGATAACCGCGCCCTTCCGGTCTTCCCGTCCAACTCCACACAGGCACACACGACATCCGAGTTTCTCCCTCCGGTTTAACATATACCTCGGGGAGAAATCTTTGATATTTCAGATTCCTGCGCGGGCAACGCTGCCCGTGTGTCGTCGACTAGCAAGATTTCGCTTGCCGCCGCGGCCGGTCAGGTGACTCGGATTTCTAAATTTTGATATCATTTTCAACCTTACTAAATTTTAATAAAGTTAAAAAAATAAATACATTTAGTTTGTTGTCAAATTTTTAGTAAGGTTTTTTTTTGGCATCCAAGAGAACAGGCCCTAAGGGTTGTTTGGTTGATGTCTAAGTTTGCCATAACTAAACTAAGGCAAGTTATGGCATGTGGCAAAAGTATGGCCAAGAAGTATTTAGCCATAAGTGTGGCAATGTTAGCTCTAGTTATCTGAGTATGATATGTGGGATCTAAGGGTAAAAAAGTGTGGCATGACACAACTGTGGCATTAAAACAACACACGCCTAAAAACTGTGGCATGACTGAAGTGTGGCGTGGCAAAGTGAATCAATCAACCAAACGCCCCCTAAATACTCCACCCAATCCGCGTACAACGTGCTTTGGTTGCAGCAGCAGCAGTAGCAGCGCAGAGATGCTGCTGCTTCCCGGTTCCCCGTCGTCATGTACTCATGTGGCCGGCGCTTACGTCGGCGTGCACGCGTGACGGACCGCTAGAAATTTCGAAGGCCTGTTTACGGCCTACCGCTTCCTCCGTTCAAAATAATAATAATAATAATAATAATAATAATAATAATAATAATAATTTTAGTTCTTCTTTAGGACAGAGAGAGTAGTTCGGAGAAATTTCACAGCAATTTGGAGGAACTGCACTGTTTTCTACATAAGTTCTTAATAAAATTCCTGTGTTTCTTTAAGGATCAAATGAGGGTCCCTTTGAATCGCATGGTTGAAAAAATGGAGGGATAGAAAAAACATAAGATTCTGATAGGAATTGAAGTGTAAAACAGATGATTGCAAAACACAGGAAAAATATAGGAATGGTCGTTTGATTAGAGCGCAGGAAAAACGCAGGAATCGAATGAGAGAGATAGACTCAAAGGGAATTTTTCAAGAGGTTGGAGCTCTTGCTAAATTTCCTCCAAAATCCACATGCAATATATCATTCCATAGGAATTTCATAGGATTTGGAAAGCTTCAATCCTTTGAATCAAAGGGCCAAATAGAAAAATTTCATATAGGATTTGAATCCTATGAAATTTCTATAAAAATCCTTTGAATCAAAGGGGCCCTGAATTTCAAAGGAATTGTCAACGTTTGGTTTTCTACTTTTCTCTGGAGACTTTTTTTTCTATGATCTTTGTTTGGAACAAAAGAAAAAATAGATCAAAATCCTAAGAAAAAAGACAGAATTCTTGTATTTTCAAAGGAAAAAAAATAAAGTTCAACTCAAATGAAAATTTTCTTCACTTTGGTTGTTTTCTTTTAGAACTTCCACTTTGGTTTGGGTTTGTATCTATCTCGCTCCTAATATATACAGTAACATATACTGAAAAATGAGTCCCACCGCCGTCGCCGTCGCCGCAGCCACTCCCTGCCGCCTCCTTGTCGATGCCGGCGCCATCTCCTGCTCGGAGAGGAAGAGAGAGAGAGAGATGAGAGAATAATGAGGACTTGAGGAGAGGAGAGGAAGAGAGAGAGAGAGGGGAGATGAGTTGAATTTTTTTTGAGGTGGTGAGAGGGAAAAGAGAGTGGCTGGGAGAAAAAAAAATCTGTGGATAAAGAGGGGTATCTTTTGCATAAGGACCACTTAGATTTTTACATGTGCTTATCTTAAGGAGCCGTATGCGAAAATGAAGATTGATTTTTGCAGATGCAACTAATTACAGTTTGCATGTAACCTATAGGGGTCCTCGTACAGAAAAATCTCTTTTGTACTAATACATAAGGGATCACCTATACAGTGTAATTACATGCAATTTACATTATAATTACACTATAATTATACTATAAATTTGTCAAATTTTAGGAGAAAATTTATCGTAAATGTATAGCAAAATTAATGCATAAATATTTGTACCTGTGATGAGTGTAAGATTTGAATCTTGGTGAATAGGTTCGACCACGATAAGCCTAATAAAT